AATAATTTCTCTTTAGGTAGAGATTTGTAGCTCCCAGAAGAATAAAATAATCTGTATGAGTTTTCTAAGTTTCTTAAAAAATCTGAGTATCTATACAAGGAAAAGATCATTCTTTAATTTAACCTCCAAAAAGTATTCTCTGCAGACAGTAGGAAAGTGGTTATTAATTTTTAATCTGCCAATTGAGCAGTAATCTTGTCTAGCAAGTCTTTGGTTAATTCTAAAATGGAATTTGAAGGTGGTTTATATAAATCTCTTAAAATCATACCCTTAACCAGAACAGGTCTCTTTGAAAGCAAAACCTATTTGCTGTCTCTCTTATGCACGTTCCTGATGAATGGCAAGAAGAGGATAGGTTTCTTGTTTCTAGGCACAACCAGTAAATAGTGCAACGTGCCAGTAAATTGTTTCTTTTGCTTATTTCTCAGGACTTTTATTTTCTGTTTGCTAGGTGTCTGCCCTTTTTTGAGGAGTGGAAAGGGGCTTTTGAATTATTGTTTCTAACATGCTGCTATAGTGATAGAAGTCCCTTACAAGAGTCTCTTTTCAATCACTGTAATGTCCTTTTACTGTTTAATTATGATTTTGTCAAAAGATATTAGCATTGTCTTTATGAAAACGTGACTTCCCAGTGACTGTAGAGGATCATATCCCATGAACATGTTCTAAAGTCAGTAAAAGCATCTAGATAACGGTGTACCTACAAAAACAGTTTCATTTGAGACACGCCCTGCTTTTTGCCATTCTGGCTCTCTTGCAGCAGAGTCCAAATTAATCTTTTTGTAGAATTATCAAGCTGTACGTGCAACAGCATCTTGCTGGCTGTTGTATATGGTGCATCCCATAATAAACATTTTCAAGACTGATACTCAGTGGACCTATTCACTGTGAATGATTTTGCCTTCAAAAGCAAGATCAGTTATCTGGCATTAATAGTGTAAGTAAAAAGTCCATCACTAAAACCGTTTGTTCTCTGGTGGACAGATTGCAAGATCTTTATATGATATGCCATCAAGCTCCAAGCACTTTGGCAAACTGCTATCAGGTATGGAAGTTTCAGCTATGGAAATCTACCCCTTGCCTTTTTCACAATTATTGATCCATGCCTCAACCAGTTTGTTATTTTTACTCTACTTGAGCTTAAGATGCTTATGTCATGGGTTCTTTAAGGGTTGGGGGTTTTCTTTTTGCAAGTATTTTTGCCTTCTTTGTATTATCATTAGTGCTGATGTTCCAGTCAGTGTCTGAAACTTCCCTTTCCTTTCCTCTTAAAGACAAGGGGTTTTTTTTGAATAAAAGCCTATCTATACCTGCAGCTATTCTTCAGCATTTCCAGCTTTCACTACGCAAATGCTATCTGGCATAACATAGAGATAATCTTGTTTTTCAGATCAGGAGTTCACATTGCTTGTACTTCCTGAGCCAAAGTTACATCCTCCGTTAAATTTTTAGCTAGCAGAGGCATCTATCTTCTCCTGTCTCTCAAAAGCTTCTGCGTGCACAACTGCTCCCAATAGTATAGATGTATCTATAGTATATCATGCTACCAATTCTGGCAGTAACAGAAATCTCCATGTTGTTATAAGAGCTCTTGGCATATCATCCTTACAAAACTTAATATTGTATACAAGACCTGTGGGGTTTCTCACTTGCATGTAATGTGCAGTTATATATATAACATAATATCATGAAGTTTGCTCACTTTGTGGGAGAGGAGAGTAATGAGCTGTGTGCCAGAGTAATGTTCAGTGTTCATCTGGAAAAAATCAGCTGACTCGTTAGTGTAATAAAGTCAAAAGATTCTTGGTGAGTTATAACACCATATTCCTTGCACACTGTTTCGGGGAGGCAGAGAGGACAGGACTAACACGTGTGCGTGTTTATCAAAGTAGCTTAGTCTCCTCAAAATATGATTTCCTATCTCAGAACTTTAGATGATGAAGCCAACTGTGTCTTAGTCTCTTGTGTTCGACAGAGTTTCTGGTCTCAGTAGTGTATTCTTAAGTTACTTCTGTATTAATTCATGAATCTGGTGAAATCGATTCCTTTTCAGTTTCTATCTTAATGAAATTTTACCTTAGGATAAATTTTATCTTATGATCTTATGGATATAGAAACATCTTACATTGTGATGTATTCTGCTTTAGCCCTTTAATTTCCATAATTTTCTTGGGTTTCCTCAGAACTAAAAAGTCTGTAACAAAATTTGTACCTTCCCCCCAGAAGCATAGCAAATTGGGACAGTGAAATATTCCACAATTAACATTCTGCTGTGAGGAAACAAGTTGTTCTTCTTTCGGACTTAGCTAGTTTTGATCTATACTGGTATTTGCCTACACTTTGAGTTTTTTTACAAAGCTAAAATGTCAATGGTCATTTGATTCTCTTTATGAAATATTTAATTGATGCATCCATTTACGTGTAGATGTAGCGCTTGGGGATATGGTTTAGTGGTGGACTTGGCAGTGTTAGGTTTATGGTTGGACTCGATGATCTTAAAGGTCTTTTCCAACCTAAATGATTCTCTGATTCTATATATTTGAATTCAAAGGTCTCAGAAACCCAGTTTCCCTTATGTGGAAGCAGGTTGGTTAGATCTGCCATGTCATGGTCACCTCATTGTTTAGACATCCATTTGTTATCAAACTCACATAGAGCTGACTGGTCGGTAATTCTTTAGTTTCATCCTCTAGTGCCTTCTAAAACTATAGGTCTGTGTTTTCCCAGGTAGAGTTTTTAGGATTTAATGGTGGACTGGCAAGCTGTGAGTTAAGGCAGGACGCTTCATGAAGGCCTTGACTGTCCCATTCTGACTGGAAGAAGCCTTGAGTCCACCCTGACTGGATAAAGCCTTAAGTAGCCCAGTCTGATCCCATAACTGATCCTGCTTTGAGCAGGAGGTGGAACTAGAGACATCCTGAGGTCTCTTCCCACCTGAACGATGCTGTGATTCTTGATTCTATGATCTTAAGTTAATGAAAATTTTATATAAAAATTACTAGGTTGCTTCTGGATAACGTTAGTAAGATGTCTCAGAGGAACTTCTACACTGCCTGTGATCAATCAGGCTTTTGCTGTGTTTGTCATGCTGCAGTTTTCTTACCTGTCAAGAGAGGATCACTTTGCCTGAGTTATGTTGAGGTTCTAGTAGCTATTAATTGGTCAATTTTGATAAGTGCTTTGTAAACCCTAAGGAATTTGTGAATGCTAATGAAATGGCCTTTCTCTCCTCTTTTAGTATAATATACGCATCGTCTTACATTACAGGTTCATGACACTAGAAGAAACTATACGGTATTATTGCCTAATCAGGTGTTGGAATCTTTTAGTGCGAATACCAAAAGCAACATGTGAGCTGACTTTGAATGACAAGCAGTAGGAATGGGATCTTTGGCATCTGGAGAGGGACATCTGTGCCTAGGTTGATGTCAGTTTAACACAGGAGTGCTTCCCAGCTTCTGGGCCTCTGCATATACCTTTGCTGTGGTTCAAATTGATTGTCTGGGCATGAGTTAACTGAGCCATGGGAAATTTGGAGGGAGTTTATGATCAAGGGAATTACAGCCGTGTAGGTTGGACAGGGATCTCCTGGTGGTGGTAGGGGGACAGGGACTTTGTTTTGCATGTCTCAGCAGGCAGTTTAGATGCAGTTTGAGAGATTTGGGGTTACCGGATGCTGACTTCCACTAAATCCTGAACTCTGTAAGAGAAGAGAGCGGCTTCTACATGAGGTAGTGCTGGTAAGGCAACAGGCTGCACCTCACTTTTTAGCCAGAATATGCTTGTTCCCTCCTGTTTTCTATGAGTATGGTGACTCTCTGATTAAAATAAGAAAACTACAGTCGTGTAAATTGTACTGAAAACTTTACTTGCCCTGATATAATCAGTTTCTTAAAGAGTTAGTATTTGTGTTAGTTACATTAGCATAGTTTCTCCTCTTAGAGAGCATTTCTCAAACTTGTGGAAAGCATGATTTAAGTCCTATACATTTTCCTGGAGTTTTTGCTTATATTAACAATATTTTAATACCATTTTTAAGATTCAATATAAAAATAAAATATGTATAACACTGTGGATACTGCATGGCTGCTGTTTTAGAACAGGTTTGTTCCTAACTGTTCTTGTGTCTGGGGCAGTGTCTTTTAGAATCTGATTTCTTTCTGTTACTTGCTCTGATCTGTTTAGGTAACTAATATTTGATTTTAAACTGCATTTGCTTTGCAATTTGGTCACTGTTGAATTTCTGCTGTATGCAAGCAAGCAAGGAATTTAAAAAGTTTTAGCAAATCCATGAAAGCAGTGCTTAGTGGCTGATGTGCACAACTAATACTTGTGGGTCAGCAAGACCTTTTGTTTTTTAGATGTAGTTTGCTACAGTAGGTGGTGGAAACATCTATCAAAAAAAGTGGAGAACGTTTTCTGGAGCAAATATTACTAATTTTATACTGCTTTGTTCATTATACTTTCTAAAGAGCAAAGCTTTTGGCATTTCTTTTTGGTAGAGGCTGTATGACAGTGTATCTATAAGTAGGTGTTGCTAATAAATACATTATGCGTTTTGCAAAATTTAGTCATACTTGGATGCACCAGTCTAAATAAATCCCTTTTATGCTTCAGACATTGGTAGATATTTTTTTCTTTTGGTTAGCATCTAAGATGCTAGCCAGTATTTTTCACCAATTCCTTAGGCTTAAATGCATTCCTTATGCTTAAACTCTTAAATGTCTGTGCATATATTTAAGGAAAAGAAAGAAAGAACAAGAAAACAGCCTAATGCAGAGCATTTAGCTCTATAGCTCGAGTCAAATAGACTTGAAGTTGTTTCCAAATTTATTCGTGCTGTATAATCCGATTTCTGTAACAGATAGAAATAGTGGCAAAGTAATTATGAGTACGCTGGGATGACTGTGAAAGATGAAATCTCATATAAGGAGTAAAATACTATATTCATACAAAGTAGTTTTATAATGTAATCGAATCCTATTTTTTCTATCTCTTAGATGATGAAGCATGCCTGGGACAATTATAGGCAATATGGATGGGGACATAATGAGCTCAAACCGATTGCCCGGAAAGGACATTCCACCAACATATTTGGTAGGCTATATTTTCTGGTTTGTTTGGTTTTTTAAATATTTCTGTCCGTGCTATCCTCTTTGCTAGGAAGTTTGAGTAGACTTTCAAATTCTGTTTTAATGTACATCTTTTGAAGTGTGGATGACAGAAGTGTATCATATTTCAATGGTACTTCAATGAATTACTTTACTAAACTATCTTTTTGGGAGTAGTATGTTGTTACTGTTGCAAAAGCTAAGCTGTGTCTATGTGCACCGTTACTTTGTGTACACACATATATAAATAAAAGTTACAATGCATTGATGATATTTTGGGATGCAATGAATATAAATTTTAAAAAAAAAACAAAACACCTCATCTTGTCTAGATCTTTGTGTTTAATTCCATGAGAATGTGATACAAGACAAAATGCATGTGCAAGATGCTGAAAAACTGCTAGTACCAAGATGAAATTTAAAATAGCTTCTAAAACAAGATCTGCATAAGGCGAAAGTGACATTGTTACTTGGTGTGTGACTTGTGGATCCTGAACCTGTAGACCAGAATGAAAGAAAAAAACGACATTCAAGATACAGGAGTTGGAGGGTAGGGGCAAGTTTTGAAGAACTTCAAGGGATGGAGTGAGAATATTTGAGCAATGAAGTGTGAATGAGTGTTACAAATGGCATTTAGAATAGTATGAAACATGAAGAAGGTAAAGATCAAGAAATTACATAACTTTGTGTTGCGTATGTGTGAGCAGACTAGATGGCTTTTCTTCCTTAAAATATCAGTGATCTGCAGCTGTACTGCTTTTTTGGTGTAAATGCACTGGGATAGAATAAGTAGAATAGTGATTGGAAAGTGACAAGCATTTTATTGGTACTCGAACCAGGAAAGGATCCATTTTTTTGTCCCCAGTTCTGTAGGACTGATGGTTGAAAAAACCTGGTTGTAACTGTTGAGGACTGAGCACTGGAGGTTTGCTAGGTTCATCCTCTGGTATAGCAAAACACATAATCTTGATGTTCGTGATTAAGGTTAAGCCTGGATTGGTCCAGAATGCACAGCACCTAAGATGACTGAGCCATGAAGTTCATACATTTATTTTGAAATGCACACAGGAGAGCTGCTGTAAGACTGGGTAGGATTTTTTTAAATTCTGTTCAGGGTTTTATACTGTGTTCGTCCACTCTCTGGTATCTGGGGAAGGTACAAATTTATCATAACCACTTTTTTACATCAAGAATGAGTGTGAATATACTGTGTATGCCTTAAGTATTGTTAGTATTGATTATAATAGTTTGCTTGAAATGAAGATTTTATTGGCTTTTATTGTAAGGCAGTTGGCTAATAACTTTGTGTGAGGTTGGTTCTCACTGTAATTGGTATTTGTTTTATTTATCTTGCTTTAAACCTTGAATTTGTTTCTTGTGGATGATAGAAATACAGATTAGGTTTGGGTAAGTGTCTAGTTTTCTGTGTTTAGTGCCTGAACCCAGGAAAATTATTTTGACTTAAGTCAAAATTTGATTAGTTTTTTGTTTTCATTCATAGGGAAAAAGTAAACTGCCAGAGGAAACTCATTCCAAAAGAAGAGTGAAAGGACTTGTTTCAAAAGTATTGTAATGCTTAAAGGGATTTTTAATTTTTTGCTCTGTCCCTTCCCCTGATCTCCTTAAATTTTATCTTGAAACCGTTCTTATATCTTACTAAATAAACAGGTGGTTTTCTTTATATCCAAACAGTTTTTCATCAAATTTATTTGCATGATGAACTTCAACCTTAAATAGGTGCTGGACATGGAGAAGGAAGGAGAACTCTAACTAGGCACACTGCTCCTTTCACCTGCTCCCAGCAATGGAAGGAGAGCCTTCGAGTTAAATTTTCTGCAATACTTAAAAAAAAACAACCCCCCCCCCCCCAAACTGAGCTTCTGTGGGTTAACCGTTCCCCCAAACCACACACAAATACACCCCTTCCCCCCAAACCTGTGGTACATAGAAGCCTATTTAAATCCATAGGAGAGTAACTTCAGCTTCTGTACAAGCCCTGTCTGCAATAAGGATTGGTTCACCTTTACTGCAAGCAAACCCCTTGGAGCCTGACATTGATGGCTTTTGGTCATGCACTGGAACCTGGTTTCTTACACTTCAGCATGGTGTGAAGACTGATACTTGCTTCACTTCTTTATATGCCTTTATAAAGAAAATGACTGGGTCAGGTGGAGTTGTTGGGGGTGGGGTGGGGTGGGGGAAGATGGGCAAGTTAGCATGCTCAGGAGGAAAAAAGTATCTGGATGGGATGAGGAGTTTGAAGAGTGAAATGGAAGAGTCTAAGATGCAGCCAACACTGAGCATAGGGCAAGGAGAGAGTGTGAGACTGAAGGGGAAGACCAGAGCAACAGGCCTCTGCTGTGACAGACAGAAGGACATTTCTTAGGTTCCTGGAGAGTATTGTGTAGTGTTCTTAGATAATTTCTCTTTGCTACCTTGTACATTGGCACTGCTTTCATTTCTACTAGAAAAATCTCTTCTGACGATGCCTATGATTTAATTGTACATTATCTCTAATTCATGGCTTTCCTTTGTATTTTTTCCAGCTGATGAAGTTGGGTCTGACAGTGAAAATGTTTGTGAAAATGTCCACCTGTATGATCATGTAGTCTTTGCTGTTAATTTATATGCATTTCTGTTGCTTCATTTGCCAAGTATAATTTTAGACCAGTCTTGGTTTGTAACCCAGACTCTCTGTGAAGTGAGGTTTTTTCTTTATATGGCAGGAAAACGTTTTTCTAGTGTTTGTTTTTAATGTGACTGACAAAATATTTTGAAGCAATTTTGAATTACAGTTTTACTCTAGTCTTTTATTTTCTTTCTGTTCCTCCTCTGCTTACTTCTGACATGTCTCCTAATGAGTCTGGAGGACTTCTACTTTTTTCTCCTTGGAATGCTTATTCTTTGGAATGCTTATTGTTTGGAGTTTTGGCATTGCTGTCTGAAAGAAGTTGCAGGCTTCCTCCACATTTAAGTTTCTGATCCTCTTATTCAGCTAACTCTAGCAGCTGATTTCCTAAGTGTTTGTCCTTTGAAAATCCAGATGCTATCTTGTGCCATTTAATTTTTAGCCATATCATGTTATGATTGTTCTGTCCAAGGTTATTTCATATGAAAAACTTCTCTGAAATACATAGTCTTCAGTATATACCAAGTCCAAAATAGAATCAGCTATTGTTATTTTGGTGGGTGGTTGATGGGAAGGGGGAAAAAAAAATTGGTCCTTGTACCGAGGACTGTCTAGGCTGTGTTGCTATTGCTAGTACTTTAGCAATCTCTATTACCCATAATGACACCATTCCCAGTGGTATCTGCCTTTATAGAAGCATTACATAATTCTTTTTGAAATCTGATGCTATTTTTAATAAAAAGCTGCTCAGCAAAACCTGTTTTTATTATTCATCTCAAAGATTATTTGACCCCAGCTATTTTCTGCCATTACTGCGGTCTGTTGTACTTCCATTTCAATTCATAGCACGTCTGTGAGATTCAGCAAGGAGATGGTATCGCTGGTTGACACTGCAACCCTTTGCATGAATCTTTGGGAAATCAGGTTTACTGATAACTCTCAAGTGAGGTAAACGCGATTCAATTTAGAAGGCAAATAAGCCATTAATCTTCCCTGTTGGACTCCCCTTTCCCTTCGAAGCATTGTATATCTATATCCCAGCATCGCAAGATCTAGCAGGGTTCAGGCTGGGGTCAGAGAAGGGGAGAAGAGGTGGCCTGCTCTGCTCTCATAAATCTTAGTTTTAAGTCATTAAAAAAATAAGGAAAGGTGATAAACTTTAAAGCGAGATGCTCTGTGCCTCACTGAAGCATGCCAGCAAGAACATTTGTGGGCTGCCCCAATTATTAGTTTGACTTTTATAACAAAGCCTGCTGGGGTTGCTTTAGTTGACCTGCAACTAGAAACTCTTGCCAGTCTTTTCAAGATGTCTGACCTGATGACTGTAAATTGTAAAGCAGAACCTGCTAAAAGTGTTGCCTATCAAACTGTGTAGTCAGCCAGTAGTTAAAATCTTGAATAGTACCTCTTCAACAGCTGGGTCACAGCATTAGTAGTATGGTGCTGGTTTGGGAAAGTATGACTGGGAATTGGTGGGCTTTTAAAGATGTTTACATTTAGATGACATACAAAATGAACCTTTATAGCTTCTGTGTTGGTGAAGCAGGGTGATGACTTGCCCTATTTTTGTGAAAGTTGCCTGGTTTTGAAAGGGCTGATAATCTCAAGATTTGTTATTTATTCATACCCTGTAAGATAAAGCGTAAAAGGCAAGGAGAAAGTATAGCAGAGAGGTGTAATTTCTGTTTCCAGTTTAAATTTTTATTTGCAGCTCTGCTGGTGGTTGTAGCACTAAGCTAAAAAAAATGTTAACTTTTTTGTTGGGCTGCTTAACTTGCTGGAATAATTTGATGACAGCCGCAGGGCGTTATTGCAGAGGTGGGGTTATATGGGAACTGGGTCAAGTTCTCATTAGAACACAAAGGGTGAAGAGAAAAGGCTGATGGAAAATGATGCCTGTAAGATAATGAACAAGCGTGACAAACACTGAGCTTACTTCAGAAGGTTTTCTGGGTTTAGTGAAAACCAGAGTAGTTGATGATATAGTCGGGTTCTCTTGCTGTAATGAAATCTGATTGGATTTGCTTTTGAGGATCAGTGTTACTATCTGAAACGTGCTGCTTAAGGATGATTTGTCCCTGCGTTTGTTTGGTGACCCCTAGGTGAACATCTTACGGAAACACCATTAAAATTACTAAGTCCAGATATGCTTCAGAGTTTTAAACTATGTGTATTTGTGGCATCTTTTACTTCAATATCTTATGAACTAATTACTGTAGCACAAGCTTTGAGGATGCTTTATTGTAAGTTAAATTGAGCAGTTTGTACTAATGGGTTTGTATCAATCTTCAATCTTTATTTTTCTAAAACAATGTTCATTTGAGAACCTGAATGACTTTAAGGAAAAAAAAAGGAAA